GAGAGAGAGAGAGAGAGAGAGAGAGAGAGAGAGAGAGAGAGAGAGAGAGAGAGAGAGAGAGAGAGAGAGAGATGGCGAGGTCATTGCGTGAAGGAGACCAGGGGGTATTCAAGAAGGGTATGGGAGTTTTTTATTTGGCAGTATTGTTGAGCAGGTGCTTGACTGTCGTCACGGAAGCGGGTGTACGAAACTTGGGTACCGCAGTCAGGCGTCCACAACTGTGCAGCATGTCGCATCAAAGTCGTTCTGACTGCACGATTGTTTCGGTGCAGTCCCTGACAAGGGACTGTAAACAGACTTGTCCTCTGGATCTTTGTTCGCAGGGTTCTGCTTGCCGTCTCTCTGTGGATCTCAATTGCAGTGTATCAGTACAGATCGATGTTAATGAATTTCCGGCCTTTACGATGGCAATCGCTAGTGTGGACAGTAGCCGTCGTTTGGAGTTTCTAATGGGAATTGACAGTTCATGGACGAACATGAGCATGCTTGTCAGAATGAACGAAACGGGTATTTGCAGTTTCAGCGTGAGTGTGAGCAGTATGCCAGGAAGAGTGGAAAATCAGATCGCTGATCAGCTCTCTCTGGTGTCGCCCCCTGACCTCGATGTCAACTTAGGACCGGGCGTTCTGCTCTATCGCCTCAACGATAGTGACCGCTTCGTCGGTGTTGGAGAGGTGGGCCATCTGACAGAGTTCATTGCGGTCGACCCGCCGCTTCCCTCCAGCGACGACGGATGCTGGGAGTCTTTTCCGCTGCCGTCGCCGAGCGACACGAACGTCGTGCGGCGGCTTTTGCCTCCTCCTCCTCCTCCTCCTCCTCCTCCTCTTGTAAACTGGGAACACGACTGCGTTAAAAGGTTTCTGCAAGGGGGAGGGAAACTTTTTCAGGTCATTCCCGCCACTGCCGTCAGTGGCAGCTCAGCGATGAAGGAGTACGGTGCGTTCAACGAGATTGCCTGTGCTGGGCGACCAGACGATTGCTCCTTCAGCCCCTGTGCCGTTGCAGCGGTTTATCCTGGTTACGTGCAGTGCGCGCCAGGTACGAGCCAGAGCACGATTGTCAGTATGTTGAACCTTACTGGCTTGGGGCTGAACGGCTCGATCCCCCGATCGATCGGTAATATGAGCGAGCTGCAGGAGTTGCGCTTGTCTAACAACATGCTCAGCGGTCCCATCCCGACCGAAATCGTCCGTCTCGGCAACTTGCGTCATCTGGATCTCAGCAGTAACTCGCTTTCCTGCGATCTTTCTGGCTTTCCATTTTCCAACCTCACATCGCTCAAATCTCTGCGGCTGGATGGCAATCTTGACTTGAATGGCACCGTGGCCGGTTTTCCACGGAACCTGACGGAACTGAATGTCACGGGCACCAGATTGAGCTGTATTGCTCCATTGAGGGGGGAGGAAGTTGTAAATCGGTCGTTCATTGGCTGTCGCAGTCTGTCGATGGACGTCCAAGGATCCTTGTCGGAGGAATCGGTGAAAGAGAGCAAGCCGCTGCAGCAGACCCAGTACATTGTATTATTGACAGCAGCTTGTGTGCTGTTGCTATGTGGCCTGCTTGCGGGAGCACACGTGGCGGTGTTTATGATTAGGAGATCGAAGAAGAGGCAGGGTTGTGCGGGTGGAGGGGAGCTTGGAGGGTTGCTGAGGCGTCCCAAGTTGTGTAATCACCTGGGACCGCTGCTTTCTCTCTCGGTAGAGGAAATTGAGGTCGCAACGGAGAAGATGTCGAGGCTGATTGGCCGGGGACTCTTCGGCATGGTCTATGACGGCAGGCTGCCCGACGGCCGTCGCGTGTCGATCAAGTTCCGAGCGAAGGGAACAACGGCCGTTTTGTCGGATTTCAGGCAGGGCATACGCAAACTGGCGATGCTGAGTCATCGTAATCTCGTCAAACTTGTGGGTTTCTGCGACGAGGGAGGCTACGAAGCTCTCGTGTTCGATTTTGTACCCAACGGTTCGATCAGTGACTATCTTCATGACAACAGCAAGACAGGATTGGTGCTGACGTGGCAGGCCAGGCTGAAGATCTTGCAAGGCGCTGCTGCGGGCATCGATTACCTTCATCGCCAAGGAGTGATACACTGCGACGTGAAGTCCAGAAACATATTGCTCGACGACAAGTACGAGGCCAAGGTCACAGACGGAGGCTATTTTCACCCCTCTCTTTTCGGCGATCCCGCTCACACCGATCTCAAAGAGTATTTCAAGGGCTATTTGGATCCTGAGTATGAAGAGAAAGGCGTACTAGATAGGAAGAGCGACATCTATAGCTTCGGTGTGGTGATGTTAGAGACGGTATCGGGTCGGAAGGCTCTAGTCGACGTGGCGGTGCCGCAATCACCGGCTTCACCTGGGGATTACAGTCGATCACCATCGCTCCTTTCTCCTCGTCTACAGTCTCCACCCGCTGTAGACATCGGCGGTCCTAGTACTGCTGCTTCTTGGTCTCGGTCATCGAGGGCGATGGCTTCGGCCGCCATTCAGGCGATCTTGATGGACGATTCTGGGGAGCAGCAGGAGGGGATGTATGGGGACCCAGATGACGATGTGGGCGACGAGGAAGAGCCTCCCCCTACACCCGCCCCTCCTCCTCCCAAGCCAATTGCTGAGTGGGTGCGAGAGCTCAAAGCAGAGGGAAAGATGAGCAGCTTCATAGATCCGAAGCTGGCGGAAGGGGCGTATTCGATGCAATCAGTAGCCAAGATCGTTGATATAGCGCTCTGGTGTGTGGAGGCGTCAAGCAGCTCTCGACCGTCGAACATGCGCCAAGTGCGTGACAAGATTGATGAGGCAATCAAGGTGGAGTCCAAGGTGTCGTCATCCCTCACGATGAGCTCCAGTATGTCATTGTCGCTTGTTATTCCCGTGGCCAACGCCGTGGAATCCTCCGCGGAAACGCCTCGCAGCCAAAGCAAGGGCTAGGTGATCCGGCCGGGGTTCCTGTTTCTTCTTTTCCCGCATTCGCATATTATGCATTCTCAATCGATTGATAGGAAATCAATCAGTAAAATCTTATATCAATCAATCAATTAATCGATCGATCAAATCAATCGATCAAATTTAAATCGACCGAATCAATCAATCAGATCAAACCGATCACGTCAACAAATGAAATTAGTCAATCAATCAATCAATCAATCAATCTATCAATCACTCGATGAATTCACATCCAGCCATCGATGGATCAGTGAAGGATGTTCTCAGCATCTGGATCTCTCTCCCATTTTTACCGTCTGCGAATCAGCGGTTTTAGCTCACTTGATGGGCTACAGTTGATTATCATCCACTGGGTTACGATTTACCAGAGCGTCTTCTCTCATCGTCCAGCGAGTGCTTGTGGATATAAACCGATGCTAGTGTGCTAGTGAATGAGCGGTGAAGGATTTTACGAATTTTGCTTGCCTCGCCGAGAGGACAATTTGACTATAGACTCGGGCTTGAGCCACACATGCTTCTAGGACGCACGCATCCGAAAGGGGCCAGAGTCGAAAAGGTGGGGTGGGGGGCCTGAACTTGGATACGACGATGAGATCGAGAAGGAAAGAAGGAAAATGGCTTTGAAAGAAGGAAAATGACTCGAATGATGTGCTGTCGAGTATAATAGGAATTGTGCACGAGGTATTGGGACGTTAACTCGCAGGAGGAATACCCGGATGGACAGAGAGACTAGGTTGTGTGTGTGTGTGTGGGAGAGAGAGAGAGAGAGAGAGAGAGAGAGAGAGAGAGAGAGAGAGAGAGAGAGAGAGAGAGAGAGAGAGA